CTCCCACCGCCAAAACCTATTCTAACTTTCACCTCCCTTCCTCTCATTTTCTTTCCCCAACCCAAACCATAGGCTACACCTTTTACAAACACAAAACAAAAAATGTGAGAGGAACAAATGCAAACTCACACCTAGTGATCTTTGTTATTCTGGTTCTCATATGTAGATACTTTGGGGCAAACTCATGTTTAGCTATAATTATACATATTATAATTATAGCTAAAGACCATCTTTAGCTGTGAGTTGTCAAGCAAGAATTTCTGACCAACATAAGCATAGTATTTCACAGAAATTGCAAAGGGGAATAGTGTCAGCAGGCATGGTGGCTGAAATTGTTTCCAATGAGGATAATTAGATGTGCATTGAGCATATGAGGCTGCATCTGTGGTGGGTTAACATACAGTATAAACATGCAGGATCTTATCAGACAATTAGAGCACATATGGGAAGATAGGCATTGAGCTGCATGGTCTTCATACCTAAATAGGCGATTCAGGTCAGAAAGTACTGTCGAGAACCACAAGGAATTCAGGCATGCATAGACAGCACTGTACTGCATTTCCATTTGGGAGGACCTCTCTTAAAATCCATACCAGACCCCGGTCTAGGATAAGGGTATGGTATAGATTTTGGGGAGAACATCACATCATTTTTGTACATCACATGGAGGGTTTAAAGCCAAGAATTACTGTAGTATTTTTTTGTCATCTTTCTTTGTATGCTTTTGTATCCTACAAACTCTAACAACATGGGGACTAAGAAGAGCAGAGAAGGTGAGGAAGAGGCCATAGACACTTGACATAATTTAAAGTGCAGCAAGCAGTCAAAAATAAAATTTATATTTTAAGCTTAATAATTAAAAAAAAATTATATTTAAAAACAAAACTACACAATTCCCTACAGGTGTTTATAACTTCAATAACATTAAAAGTTTTTATTAATGGATGTAGATTTGCAACTAGACATCCCACCAGAGGTGACGAATTAATGGAAATCAAAAGAGACTTAAATGGCATTTTGTCATCCATTAAAATTACATTAGACAGATCATTCACATAATTGGAGTACCAAATAATTTTGCTTCGGCAATTAATGCCAAAAAGCACCCTCAATGTCAACCCTCTCTATTGACTGTCATTTATGGACCTGAGTAAACAAAACAAAAATATATCTAACCTTGGGATATATATTAGTTGCCTAACTAAAAATGAGAACAAGAAATGTCATGAGTTCTACAAACTATTTAAAGCCAAGTCCACTCAAACATTCTATTTTACTTGGTGGACAGTGGTGGGATGAATCAACCACTGTTTTTCCAATATCTCTCTTGGAAGCTAGCAGTAAGATGTCCAGGCAACCTGTTGGGAGTTTAGGACTCTGACTATTAGGAAGCCACACACTGGAATGTCACTCCATTTTCATTCTTGACTGTGGATTTTCAATTTACTTTACATTATGAAGAACTTCAAACTTTGCAGCGTCCATACATGGAGCTGAACTCCTTACAGAACTTGACCAATGTAGACAGGAAGTGCTCATAGTAACTGGAACAGATGGTACAGTGCAGATAATGAATAAGAAGCTGTAAAGTTATCAACACCCCAATTATGTGTTCCACACGTTTGAGAAAACAATGTCACATGAGTCAGAAATAGCCGACCTTTCAGGGCCTTACAGGGTCCCTTCCTCAATGAGGAGTGTAGATGAGATATAAAATACAACACGATGAAATGAAAGAGTGGTTAACAATGTCAGAAATACAACATAAATGCAACAAACACTACTCATCCAAAAAGCTACTACCCTGGACAGATAACGTTGAACCATGGGGATCAAAATGGAAGTATCCATGGATATTGGTCATCTAAATTCCAAAACACATGTGTATATCAATGCTGTGTCTTAGCATTTAGGTGCAATGTTGTCTAGGGCAGGGGTAACAAAACTTTGGCCATCCAGCTGTGGTGCAACTGCAAATGCCATAATGCCTCTGGAATTTGTGCAATGCCTTATGGAACTTGTAGCTCCACAACAGCTGGAGAGCCGAAGTTTGGATACCCCCCTGCTCTAGGGTACACATCCAAAATGTATTCCTCCTCAATAAATTGTCCCTGTTGCCACCTCTGTAAGGTGGAAACTTATTCTATAAGCACGGCATGAAGTTTATTAATCTTATGGTTGTGTGTAGCAAAATTTGCGACCGTAAAGTTATTTTTCTTGTCTTTTGCTTTCTATGGTCAGTTTTATATCACTGCAATGCTTTTGAAATCTTTTTTGAGAGGATTAAAGCTGAACTCCAGACATGTACAATATTAAAAACAAATGTGACAGCTAATGCACCTTTTTATAGATCAGCCTTCTCCAACAGTCATAGCTGCAATATATGCAATGCCCTGCCATCTATAACAATCCCACTTTTCTGAACAGTGAAAGCCAGCAGTGTTATACTTGACTGCACAAGGAAATAAGAAAGATCATTATTCTTAAACTACACTACTTGTTTGACAGATGGCAAGAGACTATACTATATATACTATACTCCTTGTCCGGGTCTAGAATGTCCATATTGCTTTAGCTAGTCCTGTGATGTAACCCGATTTTTTTTTTTGGGGGGGAGGGGTTAGTGTTTTTGTGGTTCTCTGGCCTCAGTGTCATGGCACTCAGTTTATTCTGTTGTAAACTGTAATCAAAGATGTTTTAATAAGTGGTTAATGTGTTAATAAGTTGGTATTCATGATCAGTGGGGTCTGAACAAGAAACCAGCCTTAGAAACTGGAATTGGAAATTTGCTTTTCAGGTTATCTGGGTGTGTACTCTGGTAGGTGCAGTAGGTAAAGTGTTCCTTTTTCTGACAGAATTTCCAAATGACATCTTTTTAACATCAAAACATGCTTTGACCTAAAAATGTAAAAGAAAAAAAAGACCCCGCTTGCTGGAATAGAGCAGATTCTCTCTGCTCACCTGTCAAATCAAAAACACACTTACATTAAATAACTAATGTAAACATAACTAATGTTGACTTACCATTTTGGTTTTGTTGTATACTGGCTTGGCATGAGTGTGATGACTCCTCGTGTTAGCTCCTGATATCCATGTGGCTTCTTCAGAGTGGATTGTTTCACTATGAGGCTCATGAATTTGTACCCCATCTTCACTGCTTTTACCTGTCAACCTCCCTTCTAATGATACGTAACCATTGTCAGTTTCTGTAGATTTGTCGATGGAATTGTTTGACTTCTTTGAACTGAATTGAAAAAGGTGTACAACATTAAATAACAAAACAAACATTCTGGAAGGCTTGGTTTCTCAGAGAACAAAATGCACAAGGAATGAATTTAATGAAGAGTTTGTTGATATATTAAAAGGGATATCAAAATGTGTAATGTAACCTAAATGCAAACAACAACAAAAAATAAATACTGTTCATGGAAAGATGTGACCATCAAGCCCAAACCAGCCTTTTTTAGATGTGCCTAATATTACACAGGCTTACTGTAGTTATCATTAAAATACAGGTAAAATAAAGCCAACTTTGTTGCATAGAAAGCATTTTTCTATTTAAATTAGACCAGAAATGTCTTGTTATTTATGGCCTGGTTGATTTTCCAATATGCAGTTTCCATTAAAATTTTAAAACATAGATATTTTTCAATAACGCATTAGTTAAAATGTGTTCCAACACAATACCCATTTGCTGTGGTATGATGTTGGCTTCTTTGTCAAGGTCTGCCATAGAGCATGGTTTGGGTAAATGTGATTGTTCCACAATATGATAGTCACATTTCAATATAATTAGACATTGAAAACAAAGTGCAACAGCACTGCAAGCAACAAAAACAGCACATAATATATGGGTGCTCAAAAACTCTGGAAAAAAGTTTAAAGCAAATATATAAAATTACAAAACAGGAGGAAATACCGGGGTTTATGAGAGATATGACACCATGGCTTGAAGTTTGGTGAAAAAGTTTTTTTTTAAATAACGCATATATTGCAAATATACATCCCGGTATTTCTTCCTGTTGTTTTGTAATTGATTATTTTGTAGGGAGAGAGAGAGAGATCACACCTGGGGGCCATTGGCCTAGCTACCCACAACTGTCTTGTAAAGCAAATAGAGTAATATAAAATATGTACAATAACTATAATCCTAATTTTGGCATGTAACCAAATATTTGAGATAGTAACCAAGTAGCGGTGGTTACATTTATTTATCTGCTAATTCCCTCCAGCAGTCTTTAAAGTTGTTACATTGTTGCTTTTGTTTTTAAGATATATTTGTTTCCTATGATCCTCAGCTCCATCTAGTAGCCTTAATGCAGTATTTTCTTGAATCAATACGGTTCATAATATTTGAAGAACATTCAATAAAAATAATGAATGTGCATGCAGCTTTGCTGGATGAACAGCTATGCAATTATTTTTTATAAATAGCCCCTTATGTGTTAATAATTTCTGCAATTATTTTTGTCACAAAGGGTTAATAAATTGGAAAATAAAGTGATTACCAATGTGGAGTTATGGAGCTTAAGCAGAGATCACAAAAGTCAGATTTTTTTTGAGCACTTGCATTAGGTATAAACAAGCTACATGATTATAGCACAAAGACGCAGGACAACATTTACAAGGCACGCAATATCCCTTCTTCTGACAAGTCTTCCCTACAGAAATTGCATATCAACCTGTCACCCATAAATTATGGGTGAGATACTTCACCAATGGCCTTACTGTTTCCGAGACACTTACATTTTTAAACAGGTAGAATTTCAAGATAAAATACCTAGATAATCCAAATAATGTCTTCACTTTCAGTCTTGAAGGAGATCTCCATAACCAATGGGCAATTTTTTTTCATGTGCAAATTGGTCTGTTAGGTTTGACAGGGAGTTACCAATGTATAATGAAGACAATATTTTAAATGATTAGAAGAGCCACTCACTTATGACTTCATTTTGTTATCCTAATTATCAACCTCGCTTTGCAATAAAAGCCTGTTCCTCTACGATTAACATTTCTGTGGAGGACCAAGGATCTATATCATTGATTTCCAGAGAAGGGATACTGCATCTCTTCATGAACACACAACTTTGGGAAAAAATAAAAATACAAACCCTGATAAATAGAAAGCAGCATGCCAGATATCTCTGAAGACGGCGCCAATACTGTAAGAGGAGCTTGTACCGTAGTTCTGCAAAGTTCCCTCCTGTGTATTATCTGTTGTACTAGAGCCATCGCCTTCCCTATGTACTTCCAAATGTGCCGCTTTTCTTAATTTCCTTCAGCAGAAGAGATCAAAAAGTCGAAGGACCTTCATCATTGACTTGCATTGCAGCAGTAAAACAATGATTTATGTCCTAGATTTATTGATGTGTTTAAAGTGCAGGAAGAGAAAACCCTTAAATCCTTTTGGTTGCCACAGCATAACTTTAAACCCAGTCAACACAATCTACTGGTAGACAAATCAGCTAACATCACTAGCAGTATAGCTCGCTGTCAGTGACACCAAAAAGCTAGCTATATATATTTAAAATGAAAAAAAGGTGTCAACAAAAAAATTAAAAATCGATGCTTCTTGAAGATAAAGATGTTGTACTTTTTTAATGCAAAAAACAAACAAAAAAAAACTATGATGAAATGAATAATAAAAGATTTAAATATTTTTGGTTAGAAAATAAGTTTATAAAGGGTTAAATAAGATCTCTCTCTCCATTATAAAAATAAAAATGTTTGTACTTGCTGAAAAATCTTTCCTTAAGGAACACGGGTATGTAGTAATTCTTACAGGGGAAGCAGCAGCATTCCTTAACCCCTTCCTGACCGACTGATTATTCCGTCACGGTCTTTCAGTTCCTTAACAATCGGTGACGGAATAATTCCGCTATGCGGTACAATAAGCGCTGGTCCGTGCATGGAAATTATGCTTAAACACATAGCAAAAATGGCTAATCAACCTGGTGAAGTAATATAGATTACCTGAATAAAGGGAGAACAGACCAACAACAAGAATGATCAAAAAAAAAGGGAATCACTGGACGGTTTCCCTGCCCCAAAACAGATCCCCAAGTGAAAACTGGAAAAGCTCTAGCACACACACTCAGGTGGGTCCAGGAGCTTTCAGGGTGTTTCCAGTCTGTATAGTGGAAATCTTCCCAACAATGGTGGTAGCACAAAGGTCTTGCAGCCTCAGGAGTTATACAAAAAAAACAAAGAACAAAAAGCTGATCTACAAACAGCTATGACTGCCTTAGGGGACCAAGGGGAGGCCCCAGACCCGACCAAGTGGTGCTGAAAGACTGCAGATGAAGACCCTTTAACAATAGGGGTTCCAGGATCCACATTATAAGTGTTGGTTCCCTGTGGGCAAACTAGTAAAAATTCAGAACCTTTAGGGAAGTGGGGGCTGAGGTCACTCATTGTAGTGGGATTGTCCTCAGTGTGAATGGAGGGATAGAGAATATGGAACGAGCGAACAAAGCATTCCACCACCTAGCAGATTACATCTGTGCTCGACCCCTCAGTCTTAAGCCTTATCGCGATGATGATGCCAGAGGTGGGAAATTTTAAAAAATGGAGGCCAAATGCTACCAAATGAGAGGTAGCTCCCAGTACTTCAGCCCAACTGGCCTTGCTCACTAGGTAAGCTTATGGAGACAGAGTCAAATCTATGCCATGGCTCTTGACCCAGGAATAGCTCTGTGGCTAAGAAAGCACACGTAGGTCTGGAAAACAACGCAAAGAACTCGGTGCCCAAAGGTAACATTTCAGGCTAGCCTTGTCATGTTCAGACCTACTTACTATACAAGTCTTCAGAGACTGGGTTACAACAAAGGCTGTGCCATGGCTCTGGACCTAGAGAGCATTCTGCTAACACAATTTACAAAGGTCTGGAAAGTGCCACAGTGCAGAGCAGAGTGCCCAAAGATCACATTTCAGACTAGCTATGCAATCTTCCACTTCAGCGGGGTCTGAGTATGGCCTCAAACTGTAGCGGAGGATGCAGACCTGGATAGCGGCTGTGTATAGATGAGCTCAAGCAGTGGTCTAGAAGGCTCAATTGAAGTCACCGAAGACAAAATATGTATGGTGTACCGAGTATCTTGACTGAAGAAAAAAAACGAAACAAGATTAAAAAAGGGTTCTCTCAGCAGAGCAAAGGAAGTCCAAACTCCTTAGACATTAGCAAAAAAACTAGGAGGCATGGGTGGTAGGGGCGGGCTTAAATGGAGGCTAGACTTCAACTTTTTTTTCTGCTCGTCACTGTCCAAACTGTCTGAAATTGGGAGCATATAACCCATTTAACTTCACTCCTTATTTAATTTCATCTCAATTTTCCTCTAAAAAAGTTTTATACACAAAGGTAGTTTTTTCAAAATTAAAACAGGCATTTTACTGTTCAAAAGTCTTAGTCAACTATTATTTTATACTATCAACTATTATTTTATTTTATCTTGCAAAGGGATATTTTTTTTCCGGATTTCCTCTACAGACACCTTTTCAAAATCATAGCCAACACCAGCCTAAAGCTAGAGTTATTTTAAAGCAAAAAACAAATGTGCATGTATAGCAGACATTTAAAACACATTTCCCCAACTTCATATCCCCTTAAAGACCGTGTAGATACAAAGACCTATCGTTGCCAGAAAGGCAGTGACTAATTTGCTATTGTGTGCTGACAACCTACAGCGCTTTTGGACCGAGTGGCGTCAGCCCAGCCAGTTGTGTTTTGCTAAACTACTGAAACTGTCCCCCTATCCTTTTCGACACAACATAAAAACTAACAATGCTGTAATCCCATAAGAAGCTCTAGATGATATAATTAGGCTCCTTGAGATAACATAGCAAGCATGTACAATACCGCCGCTATGAATGTCTACACCTCTAACAAATAGAATTAAATCAGTCTTATTATTTAGTTTTGTAACTCTTAGCTGCTTTATATTTTAGGTAATTTTCGAATAAGCAATACAATTCTTATTTGTATCATGAAAGGAGTCAGAGATTGATGGCATAGAACCTTCCAGCCTGATTCATAGACTTTCATTTAGTTTTAATAATAGAGAACATAATATATAAAGTGAAATCCTTCTTTAAAAATCCAGAAATCAGCAATAACAGTGCTATCATGAGGTGGAACAGCAAAAAACAATCAATATGTTGTACAAAGCAAAAAAAAAAAAAAGTCACAACTAGACTGATGGCACAATTTTATTATTTAGTAAAATTATAAATAAAAATGCAGCTGTCCCTATCAAGGTTTTATATTTTTGCCCTTATTTAAATAAATGTACTTTGTGATAGGAAGACCCTGGGACCTGGGAGTTAGAGGTGAAAAGACACCTGACATTTGAGAACTGATGTTCTTTCACCTGTTTGACCTTGATAAATAAATGTTAGGAGATATATAGCTATAGATACATCTATAGCTATATACACACATATATAGATATATTTTAGGTTCTTTATATCAGGTTCTCTTGTTAGAATGATTCTACAGAAAGGATCTTTTTAGAACAAATTTTTGTCTTCTATATTCTTCTTGTTGTGGAACATGTAGATAGTTGTCCTTGTGTTACAGTGAGGTATTGGGGTCTAGAGGTTTGTCAAACTGATAAGGTGTTCCAAGATAGTAGAAACTAATGTCTCTTGTTATTAATGATGTGTTGCTTGTGCAAATTCAGAAGGTAGGATTTAATACGCAAAATGCTGGGGAGGGTCCTACATGACAACTATGCAGGATTGGAGCTCAAGGGCCGATTTACGTCTTGTGTGTTACATGCATTGACACAGTGCGCGGCTACTTATTTTGAATAGGACCCCAACACACTAAAGCAGCGCACATGCATTGTGATGTGCTGTAATGCATGGCAAATCATAATGCATTGCAGCAGAAAATCTGTGACACGTCCTAGGAGTGTTGTGCATAAGAAGCGGATTTTAATGCCAGTAGCATAATACGTGTTAATGCATGTGCATTAATGCAATGCACAAAGATATACAGGCTCTACAAGTCTCTGGATTGACCAGATTGTTAGATCCTTAGAAATGGGTACCATTTCTAGGAGGTCTCCATATGTGTATTTGTGTTACTTTTTAATCTTTTTAATCTAGTGGGACTACATCTGCACTGCAAGGGCTAACTACTAGTTTTGTCTAGGTGTTTAAAAATGTAGGTGTGTGTATAATATCTATATAGATATATATCTATATATATCTATCTATATACACAAACACACACCGTATTTTTCGCTCCTTATGTGCATCTTATGCACCGGTGCACC